CATCCAAGCCAAGAGCTGTACACTGATAAAATCCTATCCATGTGGCATGGATACTCCTCAGCAGAATCCCATGCCCTTCCTCTTTTCACTTCCCTGTAAGAAAAGGGTACTGGCCTAAGACTTATACATTGTGTTTCCATTAAGTTTAAAATGAGCATTAGAGTATATAGTGGTTCTGCAGCTGTAGCAGGAAAGGGATTAGGGCTTTTTCAGAAGACCTGTGCTGATGGTCTTGGGATGATCACACTCCTGTTCCCCTTATGATCCTGTGGCACTTCCATTCCTGAGCACCTCAATTAGGCTTGTCTTTGGAAAGAAAACATGAATATGGACAACTGACTTCAATGGAAAATGTATGCATCATCCTTGCTCCCTTCCGGCAGCAAGGCTGGAACAGGAGCTACCTGTGTCACGTGAGCCAACCCTATCTCCCTGCTAACAAGGAAAAATCCAAAGACCAAGCCCAGCTGACCCCATTTCCAACATCTGAGCCTGCTGTAAGCATACAGCCCTCAGTGGGTGCCTGCTCAATGCCTCACAAGGCCCTCTTAATGCCTCTTTGGATACACTCTGTCCTCCCTGCTGCAGGCACTGCCACACACAGACCTAAGGCTGCAGAACACCTCTGGTGTGCATGGACCCACTGTGGACCCACAGGCAGTGCCAGCTTCCCCAGAGCAGATGGCTCAGGGCAGAGGTGGGGCCTATGCCTTTGTGCTCTGCTGGTGTCTTGCCCTTGGTCTCACCCTTCAGTGTCAGCAGGTTCACAAGGTCTGGTCCTGTGCTCCTAGATAATAAATACCAGCCCTTGGAGGAGAGTGGAATTTGTAACTCTTTAGGCAGGTATTGCTGGTATTTTAATTACTTTCTCAAATGGCTCATCTGGTTAACTCTGCCAGCAAATGAGGACTGGAGCCCCACGGATCCTTACTTAGGGTACTTATATGAGCAGCAAACCTTCTGACCTGTGACCATCTTCAGTAATACAGGTTATTAATATGTATTTATAACAAATAATTATGTAGGAAATACATGCACGACCCAGTGCTCAGCTTGGTAATGTGGCAGTATACAAATACACAGCAAAGCAACCTCTCATCCCTCACCCAAAGTAACAGGCAAGAAAGAGCAGAGATGTACACAGGATAAGGAAATAGCATTTATGTATCACAAAAGTTCATTGCAAGAATTGCTGTTTATGATTTATTAAAGATTAGGGGGAAAAAACCCAAACACATTGAATGAAATGACAGTCAAACACAGGATGACCATGGTGTGTCAGAACAGCAGCATTTCTTGTCTAGTCCAGGACTGTATCTCCTGGAACAGCCAACAGGAACCACCTAATGATAGTGTGAGGAGAAGGGAGGCTGCTGTCTAAAAGGCTTCCACAGGATGCGGATTTGCACCTCAAAGAGTTCCTGAATCAGAGGTGTTTGTGTTGAACATCCCTGCATAGATTTTTCCTCCATGATGGTGCCTAATTGCTTTTTGAACTTCTGGCATCCTCAACAATGCAATGACTTCCAAGATTTAATTGTTCCATGTTGAGGTACCTTCTTTTGAACCTGCCACCTCCTAATTCCATTTGATGATCCCTCTTGCCCTCAGCTGCTATGTTAAGCATTCCAGTGGCAACTTTGTAAAAAATTAAATAAAAACCATCATATTCATTTATCTGGATGAAAGTGTATACACATAATTATGTAAAATGCACTGCACGATATCCTCCCAAATAGCAAATGTGTATTCTTTATTATCTTTGCCAATGTTTCACAAAAAAAAGGGGAGGGCAAAACCAAACCACCTAACAAAAACTAACAAATAAAAACCAACCCAGCAAAAGCAACCAAACAAACCCTGGTGATCTTACAGCAGATACCTTATCTGATATGACAGTAGCAATGCAGTACAATGCAATCAGTAAGGTTAGAATATGTGTAACGCAACTGCACAGTGCAGACTGACACCAGGTATGCTACAAGCATTTCCACAAACACAGCATAGGTGAAGCAAGTAGGAACACATCTTCTAAGTGACCTACTGCACTCCTACCACTTGCAGTCTTGAGTATAGTCAGGGAGTCTGCTTATTTTTAACATTTTCCTGACCGTACATTGAAAAATAGAGCAAAAATCTTCAAATAGAACACTATTTGCTTTCATTATGAGTCATGTTTGTTTTAACACGGTTCTCCTTAACTCACCGCCATATAATGCGTCCCCATCTTTTCCAGAGGGAAAATGGACAAAAAGAAAACCTCACCTTATGCTTCTCCTTTTGTGAGTATGAGCTTATGTATTCACAGTGCACATCTGTATAGGACCAGGAGGCCTGAGCTGTAAGCCCCAGCAAGGCAGGGCTGTATCTTTCCAGCAGGATCTTATCCATGAAGGGTCTGGCTCTAGAATACCTCTGAAACCATTTTCTTTTGCAGCATGGTTCAGAGCAATGAAGGAGAAATAGAAGAAATAGGCCAACATGACAAGCTTTATCACTCCATTTCCTTCACTGGCAGCAGTCAAGTCTCAGACCTTAAACAGATGCTGTTTTCAAAGCACGTACAAGACATTACTGCCAGGAACGGTGGTATTTTTTCATGATGGCATAGCACTGGCTACCCTCAGCTACCTCAGAGAGAGGAGGAGAGCACCCTTAAAAGGAAGAATGCACTGGAACCAGCAGAAAGAGTCACCAAGTCCTGGAGGGGAGATGAAGCAACAAGACCAGGCCCGAGGGCGTCGCACCCTTGTCCTGGGGCTTCACACGTGGGAAGGGGGACGCGCCCCACGTCCACCACCAGCCGCCCCGGTGGCGCCCACCACAGCCGGGATGGTAGCGGTGACAGGGAGCCCACGGTGGGGGGGGGAACAAGACGGGACACGGAGGGAAAGGGGCGGGGTACGGGCCACCCCCCACTGCCCCTCCAGCGCACCTGCGCCGGGTGGCACCCAGCCCAGCCCGCGGGCTGGTATTTATAGTGCGCTATTTTAATCGCGCTCGCTCATTGGCCGTGGCCGTGTGACGACATCGGCTCTCCCTGGGCAAAGTCCCACCGCTCTGCTCTTCCTCTTCGCTGGGTGGCGGTCGAGGGCGCGGTGCCGTCGGGGACGCGAGTCTTGTCAGCGTGGCGGGAGGGGGGAGCGTGGTGCCACCGCGACGGGGCTGCTTCTGGAGCAATTCCAGGCGGTGGGGATCTCTCCGTCGCAGCCTCACCAGGCTGGGGAGGAAGCCTGTGGCTCCCGCCCCTACTGGAGGTGGCGGAGACATGGGTCGTCACTGTTCCGAGGCCCACTGCCACCTCTGGGGTGTTCAGCTCCCTGCTCAAAATGGCGGCGGGGCTGAGGGGATGCTTCCCCCCCCCCCCCCCCCGAAGACTCCTGGGGCAGGCTGGAGAGGGCACCAGAGTCCGGGGTGGAATTGTGAGGGGTCTGGGGTTTCATCCTTAGACTTGCTTGCAGAGGGCAAGAACATCCTGTGATGGTGTTTCCGGCTGTGTGTCCATGTCCTTGCAGAAGCGAAGGGATGAAAACCCAGGGACAGCTGTGTTTAGGCATGAACCTGAGAGAAGGGGTGTAGCCACTGCTGCCTTAGGGTTAGGTGTTAGTCCAGACATGAAAATGTGCAATGATACCTTTGCATACCCCTGATACTGGTCAAATGAGGCTGCAGGAGGCAGCCAGGTTGTGTCCATCTCTAGATGTACAGACAATTCAGCTTTGCTGATTTTGGGCTCTACATAGGAGCATCCTTACATCCCCACTTCTCCATGACAGGATGGCTAACGATGGATCAGGTCACTGCAGATTTATTTTTTTGCATATAGCACAAGCAGTCTGTGAACATTCAATGAATGGGCTAAATACAATATCAGGATTTAGTGCCACTCAAAACCAGCCTCCAGAACACCTGGCCCATACAAGCCATGTGTTACTTCCATGCTCTGTGTAGAGGAAGTTTGTGATCATGCTTAGTTTGTATGCTTTTAGCAGCTGCAGTCCCTCATTTTTCCACTAGGTCTGCTGGTACATCTGTATGCACCTGAGGTTAAGGTCGGAAAGTTCCACTGGTAAAGGTGAAAGACTAGATTGCCATTTCATGTAGTCGAAGAGCTCAGCAGTAACTGGTGTCAAGATAAAATTATCTGGCATTCTTACCTGGGTGTGGAAGTTTCTTCAGTTCATCAAACTGTTCAACTAAGCACTTCAAGAAAAGTGCAAGTATTAACTTGGCAAATGTAGTGTGAGACTGAAAAAGCAGTGCTAATTGCCTCCCTTAAGTCTTGCAGGAATCATCATCCCTGGAGTTCTTGGATGTAGCATTTGGGAAGATGCAGAAGTCAAGCCACATGGAGGTGGATATTCTGGAAAATCCCCAGTGTTCTGCATCCAGTGCAGTTGGACAGGTTGGAAATGCAACAGCATATCAGTGTGGCCCTGGAATGCTCTTCTGTGTAGGCCCTTTGTCTCCCACAGGAATTTGTCTGCGCAGGTAAGATCTGTGCTAATCTGGAGCCAGAGCCAAAAGAATCCTGGACAGTCTGCCAGGTGGTTGGCCTGTCACATGCTAAGCACACAGATGGGGAAGAGGGACGTTTTACAGTCTCATCTGCTAATAGCTATAGTAAAATAGTAAGTGGTTGGACTTCAGCTGGTTTAATTCACACCATTTCCTGGTTTAGACCATGTTTTCGGCAAGTGGACTGCAATAAATAAACTTTGCAGAAGCTGTTCCTGTTCAACTTCTGTTGTAGGACTTCAGAACCTATTTGTGTTATGGCTTAAAAATTATTCTCAAAAGTATCAAATTGTTTAAAGATTATGCTACAGTGCTTTGTAATCTCTAAAGAGCAATCCATCTTTTATACATATATTTAGAGGTTTATCTTGCTTTATTTGTATTTACTCTACATATGAAGCAATATTGAAAGACAAATACATTCCTCCCAGCATCTGCTGCCTGTTAATTCATTAAAAGAAAATCTTCTTCCAGAAGGCAGTTCACTGGGGAGTTACCATATTCTATCCTATGAGGGTTCCCAGTCTGTCACACCTGTACCACTATCAGCCATTTACAACAGCATACTATAAAACTTTACATGTTTCTCAGAGCTAGGCACTTCCATCACTGTTGACTCTATCTAGAAAACAAAACTGGGAAGGCTGACTCTTACATTCAGAGCATGATTATGAATCCATTGAAGCCTGTGAGTCTTTTGAAGAATTTCGGTGTATTTGGGGGCATGCCTTCATTGCATAATTTTTTTATAAAGCCCACTGGTAAATTGTCTTCTCTGGGGAAGAAGTTTAGGAGAAAGCTGAAAGTAAAGTTTCCAGTTTTAGCATAGGTTGCCTCAGACCTGGTTAACTCTGTTAGCTCCATGTTGTATGTCTTGAGTTGATTTATCCAAATATAGATTTTATAATAGTCTTATAATAGTTCTATAATAGTCTTAATTTAAGACAGTTTATGATGATTGGAAAGTCAAGGTTCACTCACATTAAAGTTCATGAACAGGCAACATAATTTCAGTATGGTTTCTCAAGGAGTTGTTTTGGAAAGACCCACACTTTCCCAAATGCTTCCATTAATTAAAGTTTAAGAAGAAATTAAAGATTGTAGTATCAATTTATAAATCCATCTGTCAACTAAGATCTCACAAAAGCTTGTATTTGGATGCAAAGATTTTATTGCCTTTGAGCTAACAATATCAACTGCACTTCTGCTAATATTTGGAGAATAATCCTTGACTGCTGGGCTTATCCCATATCACTGAAGCAAACCGAAAGATTCGCCAGGCTCTCACTGACTTAACTGGGAACTAAATCAGAACCTGTGTACACAAGTAAAAGGCAAGTAATTTCCCAACTTTAAAATAGTGAAACTACATTGTTAGCAGAGGTGTTGAGTCGTGTGGGTTTTATCACTTAAATGTCATACTTGTAGGTTACTGGGATGAGCAGTTTTGCCATCACCACAAATCAAAGGCATCATCAAAGAATGTCAGTGAAGTTTTGCACTCACTGAATTTCATGTATTGTGGGGGGAAAAATGATCCGTAAGTAGTGTTTAAGAATTAACAGATCCACTTTCTGCCTTGCCAGTGCCTTGGTCTCCAGTGTAATACCTGGCTCAGTTTTCTGAGCCACCAGATTGACAAAGAATGAACTGTAACCATTCAGAAACAGCATGTAATTGAGGGAAAATTGGGAATGATGTTACAGTCGTGAAAGGTGCTAATTTTAGGTTGCAGTTGTTAAGATATGTTCCTGATCAATTGCATAAAATCAGGTTCTACCTGCTTCATTAATAATTTGTAATGCACAGGGAAAGGCAGGTGGAGCACTAGTGTCTGCCTTTGCTCTTTTAAAAAAGTAATGTAAAGGGTTGCTTAAGTAAAGTGAATTTTCTACGTGCAAAAGATTTCTCACCAGTCTGACCAAATTCTTGTCAACCTACTGAGAGGCTGAAAATCGGTTTGCAAAGCCAGTCTTCTTGCAAATGTTGCTGCACAGAAAAATAATTGCACCTTTTAGCATGAAAATGTGAGCTCCAGAATTCAGGGAAACAGTGCACAATTCTGCAGAAGGGAACACAGAGGTCATTTTGTGTGTATGCTCATTAAGGAAAGGAATTGCACTGGAATGTGGGAGGGTGGAGAGTAAAAATTCGAAGTTCCTGTGTCTGCAAGAAAACAGGGGAGTATGTATGCCACAGTGACTTACAGTGTACATATACCACACTGAAATGATTCTAGAAATGTTACTGGTGAAAGTTAGTTTTACTGAAGATCACAGTCACTAGAAGTTGGGCATCAGCTCTCCTCATACTGATTAGTCACCTATTATCCTTGAATGTATGCAGGAATGCCTGCTGGACCCAGACTTTCTTCAGGCACCAGTTCAGCAAGACCAAAGTATATGCACAGGGTTAAATAAGTACCATAATATCACTAAATTCTGGAGGATGCTGGTTCCAAGTCAGTAGCCTCACAGTGAGATATATGGGTCCCAACAAAGAGTTCCGATACATACTTTAAGGCAAGGAAACACTGCAAGTCTGAGGAGGGACTTGCAGATCCTATGTCCCTCTGGGTCAGTTCGTTTGCTGTTCAGCAGTGAAACTGCACTGTGAGAAACAGTGTTACATCTATGGGGAAAGAAGCAGCTGAATAATGACATTTGAAACCTGCTCTGTGATTTAGGGAATAGAGGAAAATCTGACTCTCATACAGAGGCAGCTTAAGCAGGACAATACAAGGATTGTAGAATCAAATATGTATGCATAATTGTATTTTTTTGAGAGTATTGTAAGGCATTTATAAGAAATCACTATGATGATGGAAAGTAATGACATCTCTTGGGCTTTCTTCCTTACCCTTTTGGTTTCAGGCGCCCATCGTGGGCTGACCTGCTGAAATCCATGAGAGTTTTGGAGTAAGGCCAGGGCCTCTCCAGTGCTACATTCAAGCTGCATGAATCAAAAGTCCTGTGGAAATAGCAGAAACATTGAATTTTAAAGAGTATGTTGGGATCATTTTTAGTTCCTCATTTATTTCTTTAACAGCATTGATTTATTTTTACACTGTCATGGGCTGGTAGAAGTGTGGCCTGGGGCTGGACCCAAAGTGCTTGGTTTTCCCCACAGTGTTGTGTTTGCTCACCTGCATGTGCCACTACTCCCATAGAAATGCAGTATTTAATGCAACCTAAGTATTTACACAGCACTGTTGTAAGTCAGGCTGTAAATTACTTCCTTTGTGGATAGACCTGTGGGTACATTCTGCTCACTGCCCTATTAACTGAATATTAATAACTAATGATAAAATTACATGGAGTGTCATAGTAAAATAGTGTCAATAGTAAAACTCATTTGTTATGCTGTTAGGATAGTCTTAACATTTACTGGCTGCTGTAGCAGGCCCTCTCTGTCCTACATGTACTGCCCTGTACATGTGATCCAGTGAAGGTCCTGGTGCGTCCCACAGCAGTCTGTTCACAGCCCAGAACACCAGGAGCCAGCCTACGGGCAGGTTTTTTATTAACCATATTGCACAGAACAAAACTTAATCCCATGAAGCCTGGCCTTTTTTGTAGGGCCTGGATGAGCAATTCCAAGTAACCCTTACCTGATAAACCTTCTTCCTGGTTGACAGCTGTCCTTTGATGAGAGAGGGTTTCAGGCAAATTCAGGATGAGCCACACCTTCCTTACTTCCATACTTTGAACAACAGGGATCACTCCACTCCTCACTCCATTGTGCTTTCCTCTCCTTCTTTGCCTGTGGGAGAACCAAGACCCTTGGTGCAGCTGCCTTCCCAGCTGCTGGCTGGGGTAAGGAGTGAGGGAGGTGAGATGAGGAGGAATGGGGAGAGTTGAGAGGAGCTGAACCATGCAGTGGCTTGAAGGGCACCATTGACAGGCTGTGAAAGGAAACAGAGCAGGCATTGGGTAAACAACTATTGAAAAAGCAGCTTCAGGTCAGAAGATGCAAAAGGAATTGTTGAGTGAGCTTTAGGAAGCAGCACATGGGTGCAGAGGAGCATACATCCAAATTGGAAATCTTGTGTAGATAATAATCCTAGAAGGAGGAGTAAAGGAGATACTTCAATAATTCAAGGAGCAGGGTCATGTTTACCCTCTCCATCCTTGTGTGATGTGAACCAAATCTGGCTGACCTTCCTCACTTGAGCAGTGCCACCAAACAGTGGCACCACTAGTCTTCTCAAAGGAGTGAGAGGAATCTGTGCATATCAAAGCCAGATGTAATTAATGTGTACATAGAACACAATATATATAGAATGTGTATAATACTACAAAATATATTGGAGATAAAAAGCACAACAACAGAAAGCTGAAAATCATTACGTAAAAATTTAGATTAAAAGGAATCTGTTATTTTAAAGAATTTCTCATCTGTTTCTTTCCAGGACAAAGAACACACACAGGCACTTGCTTGAGTGGAAAATTAACAGGGCAACTGTACTGGCCAAGACTGCTTCAACTTCCCTGAATTACCTCAATTTTTTATAATTGCTGAACCGCTGATTTGCTCCATTCATGTCATTTCAAGTTTCCTAGAGAACACAGAACTCACCTCTTCCACTTCTACTGGTGTTTAAATAAGATTGCATAAGAAATCAGGTAATAGCACCATGGCTAAAAGTAGCAGAATCAGGCCGGAAAACTCTATTCCCAGACTAGCACACACAGTGATGTTTGATAAGGCCCATAAACAGCTAGATTACTGTGATTCTGTGATCAGGCTGACAGAATCAACCTGATTCTGACCTCACACAGGTGCAAGAGTTTCTGACTTTGTCCCTGTACATTATGTGCAGGTCTTTCGATAATACTTAAACCATGAACAGAGTTCAAGGTTATCATTTCACATTAACAGGGGTTGGCTGAGAGAGTAATCTAAAGTAACCAATTAAGAATTACAATGGGAGCCTGTCCTAGTGAAGTTATGGAATTTTCTCCACTAAATCTCTCAGTTATAGAACTGGTCTTGACTCTGAAGGGCTTTGACATTGGGTTAGGATTGCAAGCTTGAGTCGTGTGGGAATGGACTCACAAGCGTCATAGTTCACATTGAAATTTGCAGCTTTCATTCTCTTCTCTACAAGTAGGGTTCCACTGCAGCTCAGTTTCCTGTAAATGTGTTCCACAATTAATTACCGAGTCTAAAAATTATTCAATTACCTTTCTGCTAATGTCCTGAGATTGCTTATGGAATGTGAGTTTGAATCCATCTGGGTACATATCATTGCATTTCTTCTAAAGGGAGGCATAACCAGGTTATGAGAAGAACAAGAAAATAACTTAAATTCACATTTCAATCCTGCAGTGTTGTCAGTGCAAGTTTTACTGGTTCGTTTTTTGGGGTTTGGATTGAGTTTTCTTTTTTTAAGGATACTCATTACCAAAATAAGCATTTAACCATGTGTAGTTGCTGCAATTGTTTTCCGCATGCACTAAAAATTTAAACAAAAATGTTACACCTCAAGTTAAAAAACGCAATCTCAGAATTTTACAGCCATGGTAAAAATCAGTGGTTAGAGATTTTAGAGCCAGGAGAGATCATTTTGATTATCTGCTTGTCTAACATGAAACTCAGGTTGTCAGGAATTCCAGAAACTTTTGTTTAGGGCTTTGTTTGAGTTAGATTGTCCTGCTGAAATTTAATACTTGCAAAAGCAAACAAATCTTTTTCTTACTTCTTATTTAAGCCATTATTTACTCACTATTGCTGTGTGGTAGCATTTGAAACACAATACTTAATTGCTGCTTGAAACACAGAAAAAATAGAGATTGTTTCAAATATTACACATTAGCAACCTTGGGGAAAATGGTGGCCATAATCTTACTTGCAACACCACCACTATTTCAAAAGTCCTTAGCACTGCACAAATGATACTGCATGCTGCATTTTAAGGTAATTCCTGTAAAGAGGGGGGGTTTGTTACATCCCTTTTTAAAAAAATAAGGGTGCAGACTGAACTCTGAGACAAGAAAGAACTTTGTGCAAGACTGTGCTGTTATCTAAAGAATATTGTTTCTTATCTCCCTGGATTTGCACAGCATGGCTAAACCCACTAAGGTGATGAGTGAGCAGTTATTTCAGGTGACAGGGGTGGAGGGTATTGAGAGCAATGCAGGGAAGGAGCACATTTAGATCTTAGGGGAGATAATACATTAGAAAACTGTTCCCTCCTGTGACATTGCTCACTTATGGGACAGCCTCCTAAAGGGATCACTAGAGTTCCCATTGGTTTGAACACAACTGGAAAAAATTTTGTGTTGCTAGAAACACTTGCGCCTGTTGTTTCCAGCCCTTATGCTCCTAGTTCTCTCAGATCCAGAGATAAATAGTGCAGTTGAAGGGCTTTCATTAGTGCTGTCCACATTGCTTTCTGGGAGCACCTTAGATGCAAGTCTCCAGGATGCCCCCGAACCCTTACAGGCACATCTGCTCTGTTGGTGGTCCCCACCTGTGAGACCAGTGTCTTTCTTTGCAATGTCCAGCTGTTACTCCACCCCATGAATTAGCTGCATATGCACACCGTTTTGTTGTCGTCTCCAAGGGCCTTCTGGCATTTTCCTGCCTCATGGTGTCAGGCAGGTGAAGGGAAGCTAGGTCAGTGGCCAGGACTGTTTTCCCACTTGGTGTTGCTGTCCTGCCTGGCAGAGCAGCCATGGATAGCAGGACAGGGAACTTTCCCAGAGGCTTGGCCTGGAGTGGGCTGAGCCCTTCTTGCAGGCTTTTGCAAACCACCCTTAATGACCAGTTTCTCCACAGACAGTCAGCAAGAAGGTACTCATGGTCCTAGGCTCAGAGCACTTGGACACTCTGAACAGAGGCCATTCCTGGGGTGACTAGCTTCAACAAGCTGAGTCAAAAACAGGCCATGTTACCTGGTATGGCCTACTATGAAGCCCTTACTGTAACAACATGCCAAGTGCTTACAGCACTTCACCTTAAAACTGAACTATGCAAAATAAGGCCATACCTGACATACTGGCACCTCATTCTACATCTGCCCTGGCAGGCAGACCACAGCTAGGGAGAACAACACCGGAAACCCACTTTCTCATAGCAAAATGCCACACATAACAGTGTAGCACATCTTAGTGACAATAGGGTTCACTCATGTCTACAAGGTATTTCCTGCCCTCCTGCTCCTGGTCTCTCTCAGATCTAGGACTGAGCTGGGTCTGGCTTTGGAGATAAAGCCTATGAAAGTCTCTAACGGATATATATTTGTGCTAAACCAAAGTGAAGTCCTCAAGGCCAAATGACATAGTTGGGGAAAACAGACAATCTTCTTGGATACAGAAACTCTACTTCATGTCTGGTTGCTGCAATGACAATGCTTTTTACCACTCCAGAATAATTAAACATACTGAGCAATTAGCTCATGAACCACTAGCTCTGGAGTCACCCAGATCCTCACCCTCAACTGATACCAGGTGAAGGGACACAACACCCTGCTTCTGGAGTCCAGCAGCACCTCACCCTTCTCCTCCCACACTGTAAGCACTTGAAGGTCAAACCAGAACAGTGGACTAACAAACCCAGCTCCAAAGGCATTGCTAACAACTGTTGAGAGGTCATGCAGATGAACCCATGGCACAGAAAGTGATCATAAGGTTACATGTTACAGATTTTTCCTCCTCATCTTACATTTGTCTTTTATTAAAAGAGACCAAATAATTCATCATGCTATCTTCAAAAGATAAATTAAGTAAGTGAAGCAGTGAGCTGAGCCCTGTTTTGCCTAGGAGCAAATCAAATCTGTGTGAAATCCTGGTTATATGTGAGGCAGTACTTCAGCTCTATTTTGAAGGCTGAAGTGGTGCTCAATTAGTACCTAGGTCATGAGTTACCTGCTGCAAACAGGTGAAATTCACCTGCAGTTTTAGTGGTAGCATAATGATATTTTCCAAAGTGTTTTGAGGAGTTGCTAGCCAACATGCTACAAAACTTGGTGTTTATCTTTTGTGTCATGCGTCAGAGGTAATTACTTCACAAACTAGGTGTGTCACTGGGAAGTACTGAAAACTCCCTTTGTTTCAGGTTGCCTGTATGCCTCAGTGTGACAGGTGAGCAGTAATCAACTTGATCCCCTTCTTCTCCAGGGAGGCCTCACAGAACTTACTTGGTTTGGTAGCCTCTTTGTTTCTGAGTTACTGGCTTTAAGGCTGCTGGGGCTGATTAGATAAAGTGACTATGTATTTGCAGCCTTGACATACAATGGATTTAGTTTGCTCTCAGTGTTTAGCAGGGTTGTTGAAAACTAATTAAGGATATATGTAGCCATTTGTAAATTGTGTATGAGCTGTTTGCTATGAAACCCAAATAGCTTTTTCTCATGAATGAATCTTTAATTGAGGTACAGTTCCATGTAAGCCCTTGCAAAATATTAGAGTTAAAATTCAGGTCTGGTGAAAGTGGGCAGTGTTTTGCTTTGTTTAGCAATGTCACCCTGCTTATACCTGCCTTGTACTTAGTCTTACGTCTTTATCAGTGCCTGCCTGTTTTCAGCATAATTGTGTTATCACAGGGCAAACAGAGGATTTCCCAAGAGATAGGTGGATTCTTGTACTTCAGACTCCAGCTCAGTGTCTTACTCATGACATACTAAGGTCAAAATTACCCTCCTTTATCTGTGAGAGAAGTCTCCATTGTATATTCTTTTCTAATCCAGCACTGGGAGTTCCCTATGCAGTGTGCACTGCTGTTGGGCAGTTGGAGCCAGAGCGGAGCAGAAATAACTTCAGCTCCTAATGGTGATTGGAAATGTTCTTGTCTACAGCAGAAGAAA